AGACGTATTCGACTATTATAGTTTAATAACGCGATCTAAGCCGCCTTTTAAGGGTCTCCTTCTTTTCTAAGCTCCTTAGTATAAGGCCGTTATAGCTAAGGCCCTTAAGGATACCTATCTTATCTATATTAAAGCGTAATTTTAATAGAATTACTTATAAAGCTAGTAGGTTAAGTAACTAAAACTACTTTATAATTTAAGCTATAAAGGCGCCGTTAATATAAGTAAAATTAATAACTTTACCTTTAATCGTACTAACCTCTTAGTTATAGGCTAAAAAGGTTAATACTTAATTTTTCCTAAGTAAGCGAAGGTCGCTACTAGCTCTAATAATATAGCTAGCGAATTCCTTAAGCTAAAAGTATATAAGGGGTAGCCTAAGAGCGGCTTAGGTAAGAATCTAGTCCTTAAGGTATTTCTATTACTCTTAACTAAGCCGCTAATATAACTCTTATACCTCTCTTATTAATAGGGCGCCTTTAAAACGCGTTTAAAGCATGCCTCTTAAAATACCTTACTTACGACTAGTATATATATATAGTATCCTATTTCTAATATTAAAAAGTACTTCCTAGAGCTAATCTTTAGTATATTTAAAAGCTTAAGGCATTATAATTTAAATAGTATATTATTTATAATTATTAAATAAAAGGTATATAAGAAAATATAGTTATAATATAATATTAATATTAGCGTAAGGGTAGTAGGGATATACTAAAAGAGGGGTATACTATAAGCTAGGTAGCTAACGTTAGCGTCCTCGTTAGCGAGCCTCGGCCCGCTTAAGCTAAAGGGGAATAAGGTTAGAAAGGCCTTTATAAAGAAGGAGGCGTCTACTAAGTTAGCGAAATCCTTGCCGCGCCGTACCTATATATATAGCTCGACGTCGCCGCTATCGCCCTCCGCCCTTTAGGCCGTAGTACCTACCTACGTCCTCGGGCTAGCGCGCGCTCCCTCGGGCCTAATAGCACCGCGGGCGAAGCGAATCTTCTCGGTATCGGCTACCTCTAGCGCCCCGTCTAATAGGAATATACCGGAAGACGTTACCTCGTTAATTACGTCCCCGTCCTCTTTAGGCCTAGCGCCGTCCCCGTCGTCGTCCTCGTATATAAGCCCGACGTTATAGCTCCCCTTAGCGGGGTCCCGCCCCTACCTTAATATCGCGAGGACCTCCTCGATCTCGATTATACCCTCGTCGTCTATAGCCCGCTCCGACGGGGGCACTACCTACGCCGTCCACGTCCTCTCCCGCGCCGACGGCTCGCTTCGCTCTAGCCGCTCGTATACTACTAGCGGCACCTTATACGGCGGCGCCCCCTAGCTAGCTATCTCCGCCGCGTCGATCTCGACCTCGCTATAAAGCGGGTATACTTCTATAGCCTATAAGATGCTTTACTATAGCTCTTTTAGAGTTTATAGAAAAGCTCGACCGTTTTATACTCGCGTAGAGGTCTTTAAAGTCTACCTTTACCTCTACTATCTTATAGTATCTATCTACCTATTAACTTATACCCTTTCCTTCTCCTTTTCGGGCGCTATAATCTAATAGTGCTTAGCGGATGCCTACCATCTAAGAGCTAAGGATAGAGAGGTAGAAGTATAGTTAGGTAGCTTAAAAAATTCTTCTCTATTAATAGGCTACTAATAGCCTATAAAAGATAACTTTTTTTATAGTAAAGAGTTACTATACTTTTTTCTTTAGTTATATTATGCCTAGAGGGTTCCCTTATAGGGCTACTCCGCTAAGCTATATACTTACTATATATAGTTCTATTATACCTAAAGCTCTATACTTCTTTTTATCTATTACTAGCCTTATTTACTATAATATAATAGGTCTACTTAAAGGTTAGTTTCTTTAAGTATTTAGCGTCTTACCTTTAATAACTAAAGCGCGATCTACTAAGTTAAAGGCTATTATAATTATATAATTTACCTTTAATTAGTATATAGCCTATTATTAGTTTATATTAAAGTATTTTATCGCTAATATAAACTAGATTATCGCCTATATATCCCTTATATTAAGCTACTACTTATCGTTATCTAACTCTACCTTACTTCTTAGGAAGAAAGAATAGTTTCTTATTTTTCCGCGAGTATATTAAAGTATAATTTCTCGTTATACTATCTATCTTTTATATTAAAAGAGAAAATATTCTACTATTTCTACTAATTATCTATAAGTATACTTATCCGATTTTACTACCCCGATTTTATAGAGGTAACTATTTAGCCGCGATTTACTAGTTTAAAGTTATACTAATACTTTAGATTCTTTTTTTATTAGCTCGTCGTATAACTTATAAGTATACTTACCTAGTAGTGCCTTATTAATATACTTTAAGTACTTTCTAACTCCTTTTAGGATCTAATAAACGCGCGTATACTTATTAAGTAATAGTTATAATATTATTAATCTTACTTAAAATATTACTAATTTAGTAATATACTTATCTTATATCGCTCTTTTACTTATATTTTAGCTAGTAGCTTAAGAGTAAACTCCTTATTCTTAGTAGGTACCTAATAAAGTCTAACTCTATAGCCTCTTTTACTAGAAATTTAACCGATCTATATATCGCCTATATTATATACTAACTAAATTACTACTATAGCTACTTAATAACTTATAAGATAGAGCGGTTGCTTATTATAATAATAAGATCTCGGTTATAAAGACCTAAAGGTATATACCTTAGAGCTATAGCGATTGCCTCGAGTCTTATAGTATAGGCATTCTACTTACCGCTAGGGCTAAGAGTAACGGAATAGCTAGCTAGCACCCCGTCTACGCTATCGCGGGAAGTATCCCGAACGACGCCTCCTAAACCGACCTTGCCTTTCCTTTAAGAACTAGACGTCGTAATAGTAATATCCTCTAGGACCTCCGGCCTTATTACTTTTACTCGGTTTACCTCGTACGTTACCTATATACGTTCGTCCTACGGCGCGAGTGCGAACTTATAGATAACTTCTACGCGTTTAGTATCTAGTCTTAATATCGCCGAGGCGAGCTTCTATATCGGCGAGGCATACCTCCTATATAGCTTAAGCCTTAACGATATTAGAGGATATATCTTCGGGAGCGTCTATATCCTTATCTAGAATTTCGCTACCGCTTAAGCGTGCCGTTCTCGGAATAATTATACGCTAGCCTCGGCCTTAGCTACTACCGTTGCTACTATACGGAATCCTCCTATAATTACCTAGGCTCTAATTCGCTAGGCCCTATCGATCTATAACGCTTCTTTCGCCTTATATATATACGACTAAACGTTAGAGGCATAATCTATAGTCGGCATAACGGTCGCAGTAAATAGTTGCCTCGCCGTTTATAGCGAGGCTATCTTTAGTCGTTTTAAGTATATAGTAGCGGTTAGCCCCTTAGCGGCTACTCCGGCGATATGCTCCTTAAAGCGAAGTGCTTAATCTATGATAACTCCTAGCAGCTTTATATTGTCCTTCGGCTTAATATTATTCCCTCTAATAGCGAAAGGCGAGTCGCTATCGCGTACTGCGATGCGTGTAAAATAGATAACGGACGTCTTATTAACTTTAAAGGTGGCGCCGCTGCGCTTCTCCCACTCGAGCGCATCATCGATAATCGACTGAATACTATCTCTGTTCGACTCGGCTGTTGGTCTAGTGACCCAGGCAGAGTAGTCGTCCACGAAGGCGATGGAGCCACTGTTGTTACTGATCCGCCTCGTGCCACACTTTAAGCGGAAGCGGGTGAGTCGAAGCGAAATCTGAAAGAGTGGGGGCAGGGCACGAGTACCGTTGTCATGCCAGGTGTGGGACGTAAGTGCCGGACACTTGGCTAAAAGTATACGGATAGCCTAAGCTGGATATAACCGAAGCTGGATTTAGCCTAAGTTTATCCCTTGAGTGCGGTAACGCTGGGTCTAGTCAGAACAGTCGTTCTGCGGCTCGGGCCTAATGAGGAAATAGTTGGGATATGCACGATGGATTAAGGCATAATTACTGCAGCAGCTTGTGTGCAGCCGCAAAACACGTTATATTGATGTGATAATGTGTGTTCTTGAGGCCTTTTTTAGGCCTAAGTAAAGGGGAGAAATTGGGGGATCCAATAGGCCGAACGGGATCCGCGTTTCCCGGGGCCCGCCTGCCTACCTCATTTACCGTTTTACAATACACACACGGGGCTACAGACGGGGGCCCTGTAGGGCATGTATCGCTGCTAATTAAGCGCATTTGCGCCGGTACTAATTATTGTAGCAATGCCTGCCTGTCCGCCACTTGCTTAGGTGGTCGTCTTCGTCCTCGTCAAACTAAGCAGCGACTAGTAATAGAGACGTATGCTGGGAGACTGGGAATCCGTTCGGGGCCAATCCGCGGGTCATTTAATTTCACTGGTACCGTACGACCGGGACACGATGCGCAGCCGCGAGGGCCTGAAATGTACCGTAGCGGTAGTACCGGTACTCATGAATCGTTAAAAACAATTTCTAATAAGATTAGAAGTGTTATACGGCTTGCCATCCACCTTATTGAGTTCTGCCTCGAGCCGGTACCAAAGCCGGTATATGTCTTGTCGTCCACACATATGGACTAGGAAAGACTAAATGAATGATCTCTTAATAATGATATCTCTAGCTATAGAAGGAGTGGAAGGCTGGGTCTTATATGGATATAGCTGACAAATGTCGACATGATCAATAACTGCCTCCTATAAGAGCGACTTCAGCTTCAACGCCGGCAGCGCGGATCTTGGCTGGCCTCGAATATAGGCGGCCCCTCCCGGTATCCCGCATCGCAGGGTCCCATGGATTTATGGGGGCATCTGGCGGGGCAGACCAATCTTAGTGCATACCGGCGTGAGTCTTCAACCCCTCGGCCGTGGGGGCGAATAGCATTTCCATCCGGACCGTTTGCTCTCTCGAAGATCAAGTCCGCGCACGCAACGATCCCCAACTTCGCGCACTCCTGGATCGAGAACAGACGGGAATTCAGATGTTGACTCTGACCTTTCGTCCTTAGTCCCTGCGAGACGGCGGGTTCGCGCATTCAAACCTTGCAGCCTTGCTGCGCGTTGAGTTGAGCTCTATTCTGCTGTGCGAGCTCCCTAGCCTTGGATCTTCTATACTCTTGGCTGCTTGCCTATCTTGCCACAAGCACCAAAGATAAGGTTTCGCGTAGACAGCATCTTGGCCGTTGCCGCCCCCGTCGGCGAGTTTGACGTTGCCGAGGAAGAAACACAAGATCCAGGACTATACATACTATTAGTCCTGTAACTTCCAAGGTAGGATAGCTTATAGACACACCAAAACCATCAAGGGAGTGATAGAAACGAAAGCCCAGACGACACCCATCTGAGTTTAATCATCAGCCATGTCTTCCTACAACCAACTGCACTCTTACCTTGGCCTTATAGATGGCCTGTTCCCCGACTCCAGCCGGCTGGTCCCGCAGCCTTGAGAAGTCACCATCTTTCGCGTCGAGTTCTGAAACGTTGTTAAAGATGGTAGACATAATCGTTAAGCCAATAGTCCCTCCAAGTGGAACGGCAATGGCAATCAACCCAATGACGGAAGCGCGATGTGCCTTGAAAATGCCAATGCAGTGCAGCGGAGCCACCATGAACCGGAGGCCCATGCCGGCACCAACCATGGCCATCGCGCCGAAGATGGGCGGCGACTGTTCTTTGAACAGGGCCCAAGTCAGGACGCCTATACCTATGGCTTCGGTGATGGTGCCGAGGAAGAGTGGCGGAAATGTCATTCTCGGCCATCGGTTACACATAAAGGCACACAGATAGACTCCAACTGCAGACAAGTTAGCCTAAGATCAGAATGGCAACGTCAGCCAGCGATGCTCGACCGTACCGCCCATGCCTGGCGCAAAGAAAAGAAGCTGGAGACCTGCTTCGTCCGGGCTGTTCCCCTAAACCTCACATGAGCCAACGTCAGACGGGACAGGTAATCGAGCCATACCTTGACCGCAATAAAATAAACATTACAGAAGTAAAGGACCTGCCTCCATGTTAGAGGGTATGCAAATAATTTTTCGCAGAGGAGAATCGTTCAATCTCACGGCAAACATTGCCATGCCTGTGGCGCATTCTATATAAAAGATCAAGCCAATGTCCCGGTTGGTCAGGAGAGCCCAAGGGATCATGGGCCGCTGCCGCGATATCCTCTTAGACAAGAACTGACCCGGAGCAAGCATCCGCTCCCAGACGAAGAAGAACCCCACAAGAAAGCCCCCGATGAGTAGCGAAGATATAACGGCGGCAGAGTTCCATGGGTATGTCACGCCGCCCCAAGTCAGGGCCAAGATAATGAGGCCAAAGCCCATAAGAAAGAAGGCTTGCCCTCCCACATCGACGGTTTTAAGGCGCGCAGCAATCTTAGTGAAGTGCCCCGTGTCGGCTGTTTCATCAAGCTCGGGGATGGGCTGGGGCCCGAGAAGCTCCTTGCGCAGTATAGTGAAGATGGCCAGCAGTGCAGCAGCCCCGACGGGCAGGTTGATGCCGAAACACCAACGCCAGTTGGCCCTTGTAAGGTAGCCACCAATGACAGGGCCCAGGGCGTAGGAAATGCCTCCGACAAGGGTAAATATGGCCCAGTTCTTTGCATTTTCCTGCAGCGTCACGCGGTCGGCGAGGATGGTCCGAACGACGACGTTGAGTCCCGCGGAAGCCACGCCTTGAAATCCGCGCCCCAAGAGCAGAAGCCCATATGCGCTTGTCGGCGCACCAGTGCAGAGAGCGCTGCCGATGAGCATGAGGAAGACGGCAGCGATGATGGCCGCATATCGACCGAATACGTCGGCCATCTGGGCCCAGAAGGGGATGAAGGCTGCCGAGGTGAGGTTAAAGGCCGAGACTATCCAATTTTGCTGCGAGATTTTGTTAAAGTCTCTGGCCACCCAGGGTAATGCGCTTGCGATGCTGCGGTCAAGGGTTAGAGACATGGCCAAGTCATTTCATATCGAGGGTGGGATAGAAGCTCGTACATGGTGGCATCAAGCGCCTGGAGGGCATAGGGCCAGACCAGGCCGAGCACTATCTTCCATCTGTACTTTCTCCTCGCCCGCTTGGCAGCTTTGTGGTCGACGTCAGGGGTAGCTGGCGGCCCAGATCTGAGACTGGATGCCGGCGGCGAAGTCGAGTCTCTCGGTGGATTAGTGGACAGGTGATTCGCCATGACTTGCTGCAAAAGAAAGAATGTCGCGTTAACTTGGTTGTAGAGGGAGGCTTCGGATTAAGAGTTGAGGTGCATACGAATAGTCTCTCTTAGTTCGTAATTTTAGAAGGTTCGGCTTTGCGGTTGTGGAGTTACTCTGGATCAATGTCTGGCAGCAAGTAGGTATGGCAAATGGGTGGTTGGATGGATGGATGTACTTCGCCCGAGTCCTTACACTCTTGCCCGCCCCTACTTTGTCGGATTTTGCTACGACTCACCCACTTTAAATTCGAACAAGTGGGAGCGGGCACGAGTACCGGATGATGACCTTAGCAGCGCAGGTCATCCGGTCGTGGCGATTACTCGTGCCCGCTCCATTTTTCTAAAGAGTAAAGCTATTTATACAATGCCCTTAGCACACAACCCACGTCTTCTCGGCCAACTTTTCGAAACCAAGCCTAAAACACGGAAAAAGCATACGCCTAGAACCGTCGCGAATAGCGTATTACGCCCCCCTAAGTGCAGCCTCGTGCAGCTACTAGCGGGTGCGCAATATGCTGCCAAAGATTGCGAATTAGGCGAGGTTCTCCCCTATACGGGTGGAAAACTCTTCCCCGCCCTCGCTGACTAAGGGTATATCCCCCCCCCCGCTAACAGGACTAAGCCCGGACCCGACTTAGGACCCCGGCCTAGATATAAGGAGGGCCCCTTAACTTTAACCCCTTAACTTAAGGGTCGAAATAAGCACCTTAGAGGCTAGGGCCCGCTTAGAAGAAGCTCTAGAAGGCCAACGCCTTCTAAGGACCCCGGAAGAAAGGCCTAGGACCCGAGACTAAGACCTAGAGGATATTAAGATAAAAGATAATACCTAGCTTATACTAAAGACTAGCCTCTTTAGGCCTAGCCTAGCTCTACCTTAGGCTAGCTACTTCTAGCTTAACTAGCCCTTAAAGTAGGTAAAAGGGCGAAAGAGAGCTACGCTTAGTAGCTTTATTAGCCCTATACTTATCCGACCTATATTTTAACGCTCGTAGTAGACCTAGCCCTAGCCCTAGCACCCCTTTCTTAGGGACCGGGCCTAGGGCTTCCTTTAGCAGGCCCTCTAGTCCCTTAAGGAAGCTTAAAAAATCGAACCCTTTTATAAGACCCTTATAAAAGGGCTCGAGAAAGCAGCTATAAGGACCCCGGACCGCTAATAGCCCCTATAATAGCCCCTATACTAGCCTAAGGCCGCCTAGCAGCCTAGGGCTACCTAAGGAAACCTCGAAGCAAGCTCGTAGGCTAAGGTTACCGTAAAGAAGGCGCTTAAGGCCCCGGCTAAGGCCCTAGCTAAGGCTCCGGTAAAAGCCCTAGCTAAGACTATAGCTAAGGCCCTAGCTAAGAGGAACGTAAAAGAGGACTTCTAACTTATCTTAAAGCTAAAGAAGGAATCGCTAACGCTAACTATTAACCCTATTACGCTTCGTAACGAGCTTAATAAGGCTATAAGGGAACTAGCTATATTAGCTCTATCGACCTCGAATAAAGGTAATATAGTTATAATAATAAAGGCCCTATATATAGTAAAGAAGCTTCTAGAGCAGCGAGAAAAGTAGTCCCTATGCCTTAAGGAGCTACCTATTAAATCGGCCGACCTTCTTACTAGCTAGACTAAGCTAGTAGCCTAGAGCGTCCCTAACCTCCTAAAGACCCCTATCCTTAATATCTTCGCTATAAAAGCTAAAACCTTTAGCGGGATCGATATCTTAGGGCAGCCTAGGTAGCTAGGCACCCTAGGCCTAACGTAGAAGGTAGGATCGGTCGTCTTTATAGTCCCTTTAAAGGCTATAGGGGCCGAATATTAGAAAAAAGGCCTCTATATAGTAGGTCTATAGATTTAAGTTAAGGCCTATAAGGAATATACTATATATACATAGTACTATAGGTGCCTTTCCTTTAGCTATAACCCCTAGACCTACCGGCAGCCTATTAAGTATACCTTTTACTTAGAAAAGTACTTAACTAGGGACTATAACTACCCTAGCTATAAGGCTAGCTAAGGCTGCTTTTATTTTAAGGTTTAATACTATAACTATAAGGGAGAGCACCTTATAACTAATAAAGTATAATACGGAGTCTATAAGGGAATAACTAATACTTAATAGCCTTAGCCCCCTTATACCTATAGATTCTTTAAAGCCGCTTAGGCTCCTTAGGCCTAACTATAACCCTATTAGTATTATATAGTATAATACTAATAGGTAGGAAATAGCTAACCTATCGATCTTAAAGTAGGCCCTAGAAATAAGAGCGGACCTTATCTTATTATAAGAGCCTTACCTTTATAAGATCGATAATAGCTATATCCCTATATAGTATCCGGCCTATAATATTATAACCCTTATCCCCTCTACTAACTTTCCTAAGCTCGCTAGGAGGCCTAGGGTTATAGCTTATAAAAGGAAGGAAGCTTAGATAGAAGCTAGCCCTAGCTTCGACCTCTTTTACGATCCTAATATATAGGCTATAAGGGTAGAAGGCGCCGAGCCGTTTACCCTTATTAACCTATATAACGAAAAAGAGGTTAAAGGGGCCCTAGCTAACTAAGGCCGGTAAGGGCCCCTTATAATAAAAAGGCTACTACTAATAGCCTAGCTCCTATAATAGCCCTTCCTATTAGTAGGGGACTTTAACTTATACTACCTTTATTAAAACCCTTTTACGGAACCCTTTAAGGCCTATAAGGTAGAAGCCCTTATTAGCTAGCTCGACCGCTATAAGGCTTCTTTATTAATAGACCTTAAGGTAGCTATAGAAGGCACCTATTAAAAGAAAGGCTTAAAAGGGGCCTTAGTTATAAACCTTGCTTTTTATAGCCCTTTTAAATAGCTAACTTAAGCTAACTTTTACTTCTTAAAGGCTATAAGCTTAGATTATAAGTCTATAGCCTTTAAAGCTAGCTTAAGGGGCCCTAATAGGCTACTACTAGCTAGGCCTACTACTTATAATTATAAGAAAGTAGACTAAAAGGTATTTTTAGAATACTTAGCTAAGAAGGAATAAGACCTCCTTATAGCTATAGAGAGGGCTATAAAAAAAACGACTTAGAAGGGATAGCTTCCCTTTTAATAAGAACCCTTATAGAGGCCTTAAACGTAGCGATACCGAAAAAGAGGCCTTATAAGGGATCTAAGCCCTAGTAAACTAACGAGCTATCCTACCTTCGGAAAGCCCTAAGCCTAGCCTAATAGGCTTATAGGCTAGCTTAAGATAAGGAGCGCTAGAAGAGCTTTATAAAAGCCTAAAATAGCTTTAAGTATATTATTAAGGCTACTAAAAAGTAATACTAAGAGAGCTTCTTAATAAAAGTAATAGGAAAGGACGTCTTTATAGCTTTTTTTTATACTAAGGCTAGAGCTAACCCTACCCTTCTTAGTATCTTATATATAAAAGAAGGGATAGAGGTAAAAGCTAATACCTTTATAGAAAAATACGAGGCCTTCCTAATAACCCTTTTTCTAACCTTAGACCCTAGCCTTAGCCCTCCCTTTAGCCCCCTTAGAGCTTAGAAAAAGAAGAGCCCCCGGGCTAGATAAGTAGTAAGGCTATAGTTAAGTAGGACTAGCTAGAGCTAAAGGACCCTAAGATTAAGAGGGCTATTTTTAGCTCTTTTAATAAGAAAGCCCTTAGCCCGGACTCCCTTAGCTTCCTCCCTATATAATATATATATAAGGCTATCCCTATAGTCTTTAATAGGGCCTATAAAGCTTTATTTAACTAAGGATACTACCTTAAGGTATAAAAGGAAGCTATAGGAATTATACTTCTTAAGTAAAATAAGCTAGACTATACTATCCCTAAGGCCTATAAGGTTATAAGTCTACTTAACTACTTAGGAAAGGTCCTCGAAAAGCTATACGCTACCTAGTAAAGCTATTTAGCTAATATAGCCGGGCTTCTAAACCCTATATAGCTAAGGGGACGAAAATAGCGGTTAGCTATAGATATAGCCTTCCTCCTTTTATACTATATCTAAAAGAAGCGGGAGTTTAATAAGAAGGCTATTACTAATACCCTCTTATTAAATATAAAGGGCGCCTTTAATTTCGTATTAAAAGAATAGCTTATAAGGGTCCTAAGGGAATTAAACTTCCTTAAGGCCCTTATAAGCTAGGTAAACTACTTCCTTACTAAAAGGAAGATCTAGCTAACCTTCGAAGGATAAGTTTAGCCCCTTATAAACCTAGTAATAGGAGTACCCTAAGTGTCCTTTATTAGCCCTATTTTATTCCTCTTATATATAAGGGGGATACTAGCGGCTAAGGGATACTAGCTATCTTATATAGATAACTTTAGTATCTCTATAACGTTAACCTTAGCTAAGAAGAACGTTTAGTAGCTAGAAGTAATAGCTACTAACCTATTTAAATAAGCTAAAGACTAAGGGGTCTACTTTAACCCCTTAAAGATAGAACTTATTTACTTTAGTAGGTAATAGCAGCTTATTTTAAAGGGTATAACGGTAGGAGGCTTATTCTTTTAGGCAAAGCCCTTAGTATAGTAGCTAGGGGTCTTTTTTAATTCTAGGCTCCTATTTAAATAATATATTAAGAAGAAGGTAGCCTTTATATAAGCTGCTTTTAAAGGACTATCCTACCTAACCTTTATATAAAAAGGCCTATTATTTAGAGCTTTTAAATAGCTCTACTAGGCCTATATAACCTCTATAGTAGACTATAGGGCCTAACTTTAGTATAAGGGGCCTAAAACCCTTAAGAGCCTTATAAAGCCTCTTTAAAGCCTATAAAACTAAGCTCTTTTAAAGGTCTTAAGGGCCTTTAAAGGATCCCTTATTAGGGGTTTAAAAGCTAAAGCGGCCCTACTACTACTAAAGGTATAATTTAAAAGGGTATACTTCTCTTACGCCCTTTAAACCCTATATTTCTTACTTAGTTACCTTATAAGGTAGGCTTATAACCTAGCTATATAGGATAACCTCGCCGACTTAGGCTCCGACCTAAGGGCCTTAAGCTATATTAGGC